TAGTGTGTTGTGTTATAGGTACAGTTCTTCTGTGGTCTAGCCTTCGACTTGGTGTCTAGGTACTGTTTTCGTACAATGTCGTTCCAGTACAGTTGTCGCCTGGGCGAGGCTGCGTCGCGACCGGGTCACGCCCTCATCCCCGCCCATGCTCTTGAACTGGTTAGTTTACTTTCAGTTTCAGTCATCCAGCCTGACCGAAAGAATAATCTAATCAGGACCCTTGAGAGAGCCAAAACACCCTAATAATGGGCAGTGGAAACAAGAGCTCCAACGGGAACGTAGTCTTTTATTATGTATGAATTAAAGTAACACCAATTTGGTTGCTCTACACATCTTTATATGTACAAATGAGGCCCTAGAAGCAGAGTAGCCTAACTACAATTTTATAACTTGACTTATTCATATTTTTCATAGTCTAAAAAGTTGATCTACAAGAGCACAGTGACCGAAAATTGTTAACATAATTGTTATTATAACTATATTCCTATAAACTTAATTTTAGTTATTAGGCCACCCGCCCCTAGCAGCCTCAATACTCTATCATCGACTACTACGGGAGTAATAGACGTCGATAAAGGAAATATAGTCAAAGTGACATTAGGTGATAATACCGCTTTCTACGAAGAACACATACCCAGAAGGCCACAATCCAAGTGCCATTAGCGCCGAACTCGATACGAGAAAAACAGACGTATCTTATCCGAGGCGATCGACCCCGGGTCGGTTCTTTTGTGACAATGAGACGAGCATGTGACCATTACGACCTGTCACGCCGCGTGACAACATTAAAAGTAACAGTAACAAACAAGTGTGGATAAAGGTCAGAGTGTATAAACGCCATAAATCATGTCGATGGTGGGTACTTAATTTCAGCCTGCACAGGTACGCCCTTTTATATTTGGTAGCACGATATAAAGGATACGATACGATAGGAAGGAAATGTTATTAGCGAATTCATTAGCCAGCCCTTTAATTAGTAGTTATAGCGTTACAAAACGCTGCCTAAGTAGTAAGTAAAATAAGATAAGTATTTATGTTCAATGCTTCTCCTCAATTCTAAAAGTTTGTTGTAAATTGAAATTTTTTCTTCTTTCTTTGTTAAGGACAAAGTCTGTTATGTAGTACTACATCCATACGGAATCATAAGCTTTTGCATTTATCTTAGGAGTATAATTGTATAGTACTTTTAATTGCATTGATAAAATTTCCTACGCTCTTGACAAAGGCTGTTTTTAAATAAAACACTTTAACGGTTTAAAACGCTATATATTAGTTAAACTTATTTGGAAAATTATTTTTAAATTCGGCCCGACGTTTCAGATGCTTTGCAGCAGCCGTGGTATGCAAAGCCCGTCTCCCCGTGACCACTGAACGAAGTTAAAAATAATTTTCAAATAAGTTTAACTAATATATAGCGTTTTAAACTGTTAAAGTGTTTTATTTAAATGTGTACTACTCGCGTAAACTATGAACAGTATTTAAAGGGTGTTTTGTAAAGCTCATTTCGTAATTAAACTTTAATCAAGGCAGCTCGGTTTAAAATCGGCTAAATTAAAAGTTTGCATGTAGCCTCGATAAAGCATATCGTGAGGTCACGTCCTTTCAGGGCATATTTGTCAACTCCCGATAATATTGCATGCCGGGGATTTAAATACAGTAACAGCATTTGGTAGCTGGCACGAAATTTCGTTGACATTCATACTATCGACAGTGGAGGATAATAATTATTAAGGAAAGGGCATAAAATTAAGGAGTAACATTTGACAGTTTATTAGTATAAGAAAGTTGTTGTTCACGAACTCGGACACAAAGTTTTGTGAGTAAGTAATCGATTCGAATTTTAAGAGAACAACGTAAATGATATCGCGTTGACGTCACGACTCACGACAAACAGGGGTTGCATCAATTTCAATGTGTTCAATAATTGTCGATTCTTATGTTTATTCGATGCACCGTTAGAGGCTCCCGCTCGCCGACCAATAGCGTTACGTACTCCGTACATAATATTCAAATGAGACACACTCAATCGTATGCGTTATTCCCTTTATGTGTTTCGTTAGACGTAGACCGACATAACGTTGAACACCTGGACGGAGGGTTTCAAAGTCAAATCTCGATATAAAAGGATCGCAATATGAATTATTGAACCTCTGACGCGTCGTTGTACGCTGTAACCTCGTCGTAGAGTTTCGAAAGATCCGACACTGGTGAACCGCGAAAGAACCGTAGCCGACGAGAGAAAGTAATTCCAATAGTATTTATCTCCGACCGCAAATAGATAGCGAGGTAATGACAGCTAGTTCACAACGTCGACTTTCATTTAATGATACGGCTCTGTGTGGATTCGAAGTATGTTGCAAATGGCCGTTGCATTGCAAACCAGTTGATCATTTCTCCGGTGACGGAGTTAAACGACATGTTTCTAGTCTGTGCTATTCCACAGAGTAGGTTCGACCGGCGACATCAATCGCTGTGAAACCAGTGCTGTACCTATTGTTCGATTATTATTCATCGATTATCATAAATGTAACTATTAAAGTACAGTAAAAAGTAAGCCTCCAATAAATGATAGAGACGAAAGAAAAAAGTCGTACAGAATAATAGTCATTAGGCAAGATTACTCGGATCTTGCCTAATTACTATTATTATATGTTTGCTTTCTGTTTTGTTTTTCTTTTTCTATTACATTAGTAATCACTCTCAGTATAGTATAAATTGTAAGTTTTAAATTGACAGTGACTTATAACTGTCTAAACCAAATTAATATTTTATTTTTTATTATATACTTATTATCCCAAAAATATTTTTTTTATTTGATTAAACCTAATAATTAAGTAATTAAAATTCTAAATAAGATTATTTGTCTAATGATTGTATCAGAATTCGATCCGTGATTAATAAATAACGTAAATCTCTAAGAATTTGCGCTCTGTAAAAATTCCCACCGGCGCAGAGTTTAAAACAGCTGCGACTCGTGCGCATTTTCTCTAAACAAACTCGTAAGCGCCATTCCAAGAATGCAGTTAATAGCTGGATTTATATAATATCTAGGCGTATTTAAAAACTATAAACTACCTCCTAAGTACACAATGAAAGATTCTAGAGTGGTATGTTGTCTCTCAACGATTGTCGATTTTGGCCACATGCATATGTTATAAGAGTTGTCTGTGACACGCGAAGTGACATAACTGTCGAGTCCACAGATAAAGCGCATTCGGAAAAGCGATCGCAGCATCGCGCGGAAGTATGTAGGACGTTCGCGCCGACGGCGATACCTTATCTTATTGGGGTAATAACCTATAGCCGAGTATTGGAAATATCGCGCAATCACGACACTTATCAACGCGCTCCTTCATCTTCACAGTGTATCGAATACGAACGATCGGCGTCTCATAGGCAACTACGTAAGAAGGACTTGATGCAAAAGTAAATAAATATTTCTCTTGCCACTTTCATAATTAAGATGTGAATCCGGATTTATCAATAAGTTTAAAATGTAGTAAGAATTATAATAAGCAATTATAATTGTCTATGCGTACTTATTTACAGTGGTTAGCTAGAAATTATTTAAATAAATCTCTTTTTAAATCTTTAAAACGCGAAATTTAGTTATTTTTTACCTAGGGGCCTATATTTCCGGGTCCCCCTCGGCCTTGGGGTACATTAGGGACCCATCTTCAGTCTGTACGCTGACCACGTCTACCCCACACAACAGTTAGAATAAATTGTAAATAAGTTAACAAATATTTATCGCGTTTTAAATAGTTAAAATGAAATGAATTTAATTCATAGAGACGTTTGAATACCTACAAAGACATTAAAAGTATGTAAAACATATTTTTTCAATGTTTTATGCGTTAGTACAGCCATTGAGTCGCTCTCCACTTTATGGATTTTATTTCATTAGTACTTAGTAATAACAATTTTATGGCACACAGACAAACACGGAGGTGTGCGGTGCATAATAAGTAATATAAATTTAACTACCACCTGTTTATGACTAACATAAATCTTCGTTTAAATATCGCCATCTATAATTTTCAGATGTTCTACATGATTAGGCCATAGACTGTAGAGATAAATAGAATCAGATTGTAGAATAGATTGAGGAGAGAAAGCAATTTCACAAAATAATAAGAAAGGCAAACTCGATCGAGTGCCAGCGGCGATTCACGACCGAAATGCTGCGGTTTTACTATCGACTATCCGACTGCTGAAAGGTTTACGATTTCGGAGCGCAGCTATCTATTTTAATTTTTTTAAATTTAAACTTGCATTTTACTTAAGATATCAAAACATTAAGGTTGGTACGGTTTGGAGGAACCCTCTGTAACAATATGTGCTTAAAATTCGTGAAGACTGTAAAATGAAACCTGGAGATAGAAAGAGAGTTTCTTGCCCAGTTCCTCTCGTTCGTTCTACGCCTTAATTTGATAACTGGTAGTAAATGTAAATTAGTTTATAAGTAGTGTGGCGTTAATAAAAATAATTGTTATCTATGTGAATAACTGTTTTTTACTTTGACTTTACGGTCTAAAGCTACACCTACTATGTAATCATCAAATCGATTTGCTTTATTATTTTAAATTTATAAGCCTGTATTTAACATTCGTAAACCTGTATTAACTGAGTGAAAATTTAAAGACAATAAAAGATAATATTTTAAGTATTTCATTAGAAATCTTCAATAAATCTATTCCATCAATATCAAACGTATTTCAAGATATAACAGGAACCTTTATAATAAGTTTTTTGTAGAAATAAAAAAAAATCATTAGAACAATTTAGTTATTTCATACAGTATTTTTAAATTTAACTTATACTAGTCAGTATCACTGATTACATAAATTAAAATTCTATTAAGATTGAAAAAAAAATAAGACGCGGTGTAACTTGAACCGGCATCCATAGCGTCCGTGCTGCTTTATTTTGGTCAATTGAACTACCGTGCAACCATGTGACAAGTGGTTGATAACTGAGTTTACACACTGACTACTCACCACTGGAGGCGTTTTCCGAGGCGAACAGCGGGGTGGCGTTATAATCTGGAAGCAATTACACAGCAATTACTTTTCTAATCGTAACGAATTACCTTAATTACTTTAATCCTAACACAACTCGAGGACGTAATTGCTAATTTACCTTCGAAATTGAACAGACGTGCCTGAGATCTCTTAATGCGGGTACTATGTACAACTTCTCTATTACATTCGAATATGACAATTTGTATTAAAAAAATAACTCAGTACATAGCCCATGAAACCTCGATTTGTTTGAAGTCCTATTGTTTAGTTAGTCTTGGTGTGGGGAATTAGTTAAAAATTATTGTAATTTATTTCTTTTGTCATTACCAGCATTTCGTTCTCACCGGGGAATGGAACGATAGACCCTACAGCCTCAGTATGGGTTCTTTATAATCGAATCACAAGTTTATAAAAAGCTGTAAAAGTAAATGACTTATAAAACACCGATATAATCCAAAGGAAAAAACTTATTTTAGACCACAAACTGACAGAGACCCGGAAAAATTATATTTATTCCTTAAATTCAAATACTTAACTATTATTAAGAAGTCCATAATATCAGTTAAAAACGCTGAAGAGCATCTGAAACGTCCCCATGAACTGTAAACAATACTTAAGGTATTTTTAATGTCCTTTTTTAGCCTACGACACTATGGAGAGTGGCCTCCCGTTCAGTTCGCATCACGATTTTTTTCTCAAGCTCTTCTAAAATAGAATGCCTAAAATATCCACATGGCAAGGGACGGACATAAATAAATTTAGCACCAACCTTTACAGTGTAACGTTTGATTGGCTCATCGCCTACACGATGCTTATGATATTAGAAGACGAATTGTCTGTACGTTTATTTTTAATGTTATTTTTGGTTTGTGTACTTTACATTATACGGGAAAAATATTTGTACTATTATTTATTATACTTATTTTGAGATCTTAGTTTTAACGTGATTTTATCGTGCTTTAGTCATCGAAAGATATAATTGTAAAATGTAGAGAAAGACATGCAAGTAAAGCCTAGCTCAATAAATTGTAATTATCAAAGATCTGTGTATAAAACCGTTCTCTCTATCGGGTATTGGACGAACACATTGAAAACCATCGAGGCAAATCGTGGATCGGACTTCTGAGATCTGTCCGATTGAAACATTAATCGTTTCCCCAGGACTCGAATTGGGGACCTCTCATATTTAACGTAAACGTCGGGTTAAATCATTACGCTACTGAGGCGTTTATGAAGGATGCGTACAGTACGTAGAGGAAGATAAGTAGGTAGGTAATAAAATGTATGTGTATATTTTCCCGTACGTTGACAAGACTTGAATATATAATATATTATTTATATACATAATATATACAATCTTTTGTATTTACTCGATTGTCAAGCCGCGGAGCTAGAACACAAAAACCAGAAATACCTACCTACAACGTGTGTGCAGATTATGTTACAATATTGTTCGACGTTATGAGAAAAATTGCTCGCAACAACAAAGTAATATGTGAAGTAAAAGTTTATTTCATGAGTATATTCTTTATTTCGTTGCAGTGTTTTACAAATCAATTACCGGACAATTCTCGTGATAGCGATCGAAAATTCTCTAGCCTCTCAGATAGCCGACTGCCATTTTGCTAACATCTACGGCATGCAAATGTGTTGGTGAAGACGCACACCAACTGCATCTGTGTGTGCATAGTTCTAGACACGTTTAATTTAAGTTTACGCGCACACACACAGGCTTCGCGAGTATGCGCGGGTTGCTGGCCTCGTTATGTTAAGTTTTGTTGCTTTTAAAATTCAAAGTGAAATCTTTGCTATTTTAAAGCAAAAATACTGCATTTCACAGTGGTTTGTTTTGGTTTTCCAAATAATGGACAGGCACCCGGTCCGTTCGAGTTTCGCGACTCATAAAGACAGGGAATCGTGATGCCCATTAGAAGTTCAAAAATGTCTTCAATATACTATTTAATTAATAAAATAAAAGTATATAGAATTTAAATGTAAAAGCCTATATGTAAGAACAAATTACATTATCTATCGTGCATATTTAAACGCCATTACCCCTAAACGTACGTGTTTAATATGTGTAAGAGACGACGAATTGCAACGAACAAAATATAAACTATTGATTGGAAACACACGAAGTCTAAAATTATTCCTGACCTATAGCAACATGTAACGTCTACCCACTTTTCCCCCACTGACCGTGCTCCCGACTTTTTTCATGCACTCAAATGTAGACTTGTTTACACTTTATGCATGCATAAACATGCACACTAACTACACGCGTGCTTCATGTACGCTGTACATGTATTCGCCAGACGTAAGTTTAAAGTAGATGCGTATTTGGTTACTTCGAAACATTAGTAGATACTTTGACAGAGGAAATTCTATGACTTTGCTTACTTCTGTAATACTATAATTACATTCGTACTAAGACAACTTAGGTAGAAAATTATTTGTTTCTAGCCTAAACGTAAGCGAAAGTTGCTTCTGGTGTATATATTTAGGAAATTATTATTATACGTACATATATAGAATTAAATATTATCAAATTGAGGTAAGCTACGATCTTTGCAAAGGCACATACTCGTTCGAAGTAATTGGACAATGATCCATTATCTAAATGAATGGTTACGAAACGAAGAACGAAGTTTTTGTTTCGCGTAGCTGCAGTGCGGTTGAATGTTAAAACATTGTTCTCATGTTGAGTAGACAGACAGCCCTATAACTGCGAGCTAGGGGGTGAGAGAAGGGGGAGGCTGAATCCTGACCACGCACAACCAGGGTACACTTCCCCGTCGCTGCCGGCCTATATTTAGCCTTGCATTTCATCGTATTGGATGCCACACTGCAACCGCACTGAAATAAAACTCAACAAAGGGCGTTTAAGAGACGATATCGATCGAACACTACATTTGGAAATAATCCAATTTTTTGTATGTTTATCGTCCTCACCCACAGGATATTTGCTAAGGAAATTAATATTTCTTGGCTAACCTCTACGCCGTCCTTCGCTTTACGATCGAGGTACGAACGTGTTATTAAAAATCGTGACGATTCTTACGTCACGATGCGTTTTTGTTGATGACTTGACAGTAAAAGTAAGTGGTACGTTATTAGTGAACGTTCTGAGAAACTTATCAAAGTGGCATATACGACATTCGCTTTACGAAACGAATGTTTAGGGGAGGAGACAGGAAAATTAACGGCCTCTAGTTTTTTCTCAGGCATTCCTAACAATCAGCTAGGAAAATACTAGTCTATAATCGTTAAATGATTATAAGGTGGCACAGGCAAATGATACAGGTAAGCGTACCTACTTGTTACTTTTGATTTCAATGTAATCGACACACATCGCTCGGTTACTGTAATACAGATAATGTCCATTGTTAATGTCAGTGAAAGGTCAACTGTCATCTATTTTTTGAATGTTTAGGCAATTTGTGTCTATCCAATAAATTTGCACATATTGAGACAAATTTATGTTCAGCATAGCTATAAAATTGGACTTGACTTCTAAAGGAACATAATTACCTATATTGTTGCGAATTGCAACAGTGTGTTCAAACGCAAAAAGATTTTAAAACCTAAAAAAGCTATTCCTTTAATGAATTCCTTTTTATTTTGATAATCAAGATTAAGTTAAATGGGACTTATTGCTTTCTACAATATATGCTAATGTTTAAAAATACTCAAGCTTTTCGATTAGCTACATTATTTTATAAAATGCATCGTTGTGGTCGTGATTCTAGAAAGGTAAACTATATGACAGTGTCGCCATGTGTAGGCGAAACCACAAGCCTCGACCCTGTCCGCGGTCCGTCTTCGCATATAAGTCTTCTAGATATCTGACGTATAACTTTCTCCGCTTTGATATTTTAGCTTTTCATATAAATCTAGGCTTACACTGCTCTAGATAACGTTATAAATATTTGTGATACATTTAAAGTGGGTCATACATTCTATACAATGTAATTAAACGCTGGCTAAGAGTCAATTAAAATATTATAGTACCGCCGACTGCATTTGCGTAAACAGTGTGGTTATAAACCTAAATCCTCGTCTGCAAATTTATTTTAAATGCACTATAAAGATGTAAGATCGGAGTTTAAGACGCGAGTGAAAGCAATATGTTTTCCAAGAGCGAGTCGTTCGAATAAAGCTCTCGAAAGAGAAATTGAATCGGCGCGTCGATGTGAAAAATAGGAAAACAGCGACTAGAAAAAACGTGTAAAATGCCCGGCATCTGCCTCGCAGCGACATAAATCGATAATAGGAAGCCCTCCGACTAGTTCAGCAGTGCGTGCGAGCGACCTAATACACCCACCACGCCGTCGATGCAATGCGGGCTAAATATACTAGACTTATACCCCGACGACAACGTCCACAATCGCTCGCACCGCGCAAACAACCGGCCGCGACGCCCGCGCGAGCGGTTCGCGCCACAACCTCTATAGGAATTGGGACGCGATTCGCTCGCGCTCGCCTGCGGAAGGGGGCCTTTTTTCACCGAAGCGTTCGCGTTAATAACACAGCTAGGTGCATTCTCGCTGCAATTTCGCTCTCGGTCGGGCTCTGTGTTTGTGGCGCGCTGAAGATCAGGGCTAACGATCGGCGCGGAGCGACCGTCCCGCTCGCACGCGGCGTTTTCTCTCGTAGGCGCGGCTAGCAAAAGAAACGCTACAACTTTATCTGACAGCGACGCGACGCCGCCGGCTTTTGTGCGTTTTCTATGTTTATGATTATAGCGGAGCACGAACGAGGCCCTTTGAAAGCGTCGCTCGCTACATAATTCCGCGACTGTTTTGTTCTTGCTTTGGGAGCTTTTATGGGGCCCGGTGCACGCGGGCAGATGACGCGGCCGATATAGCCTACAATGTAACACTTAAATAGGGCCCCGTCGTTTCGTTGACTCCGTCGTAACAGCGCTGACGCCTCTAATCGCGCGAATCGAGGAAAGAGGGGCGCGGAGGAATTTCGTTACGAGCACTATATTTACATTCGGGCACGTGTTCGGAGTTGAATGGGCGCAGGATTGCCCTTGACCCCGGGAACGGGGCACGCACCGCCCAAACGCTGGCCGCACCTATGCCGCTCTTCCGAACGCCCCTAATGCCCGCCACCCCGGCGCCCGCGCCCCGCACCCCCGATCGATACCCCGCTTCCTACTCGCACAGTTTTCCATTACAAGTTGCGTCTATTTTCCCCGTCTGAAACCTGTCTACCGAGAATAACCGAGTTTGAGACTCGTCTTGAATGAATAAATCTTTTAATCTGTCGGAGTGTGCCATCGTCATAGTAAAACGTAGATCACTGTATGGGACCCGCGCTATAATTGCCTTTTTAACATTCAGTTGTTAGAATTAGTTGAGTAGCGCCATACGTTAAAAATCAGTCGACTTTAAGTCACCTCATTTATTATACTTATGTGAAATTATGTGATGATGACTTCGTTACATAGATTTACAGCTTACTAATACCTACATCGTAGAACAATTCAATGAGTTGTATGTTGTATCTACAATATATGCAGGCTGGTAGCTAGTGACCGGATTGAGTTACGTAATATTAGCAAGTTTGTAGTTGTACGATTTCCATTTCGTGTTTTGCTTAAGACGTCTTTCACAAATTGAATTGTGAACGGCGATAGATGTACCATTTTATACACTATCGCTATCGTTAAATAGAGACAGTAGTTGGCCTTTCGATCAATAGAATGTCGTCTAACATTCTAATGGCGGCTCTACACGATGGCGAAGATATTGGCGAATGTATTTGCCAATACCTGTTGGCCATAGTGTAGAACGGGGGTTGGTGATCTGTTTGGTAGGTATTGGACTATTGGCCCACGCATTGGCGCAAGATCCGTGTGGTGTCGGTTTTTCTACGCAGATCAAAGGGTTATGGCGGGATAGTTGCACAGTGATGGCCGTAGCGTCCACACGTTGGCGACACGTTCAATTTGCAGCGAGCGCCCATTTTGCGCGGACGTATTTTTTAATGAGGATTTATTGATATCGATTACGATTATGGCAAGTATGAGTTATGAAGAAACTTTTCGCTTCATAGAGCTCTATCAAGCTGAAAACTATCTATGGAATCCGAAAAATAATGATCATAAAAATAAAAACAACAAGACATTCTACTTATTTGTTATTTACTCTATTAAGTACAAATACACAGTAGAGTCAAACAAGGATCTTTTGTCACTTGGATGACATTGACATGAGGGCGTGGGTGTGAAATTAACAACAAATATATTATCATTTTTTCGTCCGCACATTGGCCCAAACCGAAACAAACTGATTGACCGTCCAACGTGTGGACGCCATCGCAATCTCTTTGCCACATTGTTCGCCAACATGTTCGCCATCGTGTAGAGCCGCCATAACCGTAATTTACTTGTTGGTTGTTGCTAAGATGGCAATTTACACGTGTCCAACTTCCGACTGTCAAAATGAGAACGTGCTCAAGGTAATTTTCATTGATATATTTTAAAGATATTTCAAGGCCACTAGTTGTGTCTTTTATGAAAAACATTTTATATTTTTACATACTGGTCGTTAAGCCCGATGAGTTTTAGTATGTAAAAAAAAATCAGACCCAGACCCATCTTAATTATCATATTGTTTCGTTGTTCAATTGTTTTTTTTCCAATATAGCAAAAAAAATCTTATATGTACAGTTTTATAGACAGACTAACAAAATAATTAAAGCACAGAGCAATAGCTGACACAAGATGCCCCTAAAAATATTATAGATATACTAGCTGAGCCGGCTAACGTTGTTTTGCCATTTAAATAATTTTACTAAAATGTCTATTAAAAAATAAGGGTTGATCGTAGAAGGGTGAAAATTGTGGATTGTAGGTATTTTTGTATGTTGTATCATAAAAAATAGAATATAGAAATTAAAAATTTTGTCTAAAAAATAAAAAACAAAATTTAAGGGTGAACAACCTTTATCACTTAGGGGGATGAAAAAGATGTAGATGTTGTCCTATTCTCAGACCTACTGAATACACATATCAAATGTATCAGGTGGAGGAGTTCAAGTTCGAACACCGTGACACGAGAATTTTATATATTAGATGTACTTGTGACTTACCAAAAAAAATATAGACGCATTTACGTTTCTCACATCCCAATCGACAAACGAGTTTTTCAGTTAAAGTAAAAAGTAAAGAAATAATTCAAAATAATCCGACTCGAATCGCCTTGTCAGAATAAATATGTGAAGGTTTCTACCTGGTGTGAATGTTAAGTAAAAAGAAAAGTGTATTTTGTGGTCGGACACGTCTTCAGATGTGTCCACTATTCATTTAATTGAATAAGTACGATCCTTTGGACATTATAAACATTTATCAATTCTAATAATTTAACAAAGTACAAAACAAATATACCTGCATTTGATATCGTTTAGTACAAAATTTAAGACAGCAAACCTTTTAGAGTTTAACTAACTTTTGTAATTAAATGTGAAAATTGTATTCAGAAAAATGTAAATTAAATTGCTAGGTTTGTGTAATTTTTGTTAGTCGTAACAGAATGTATTTAAAATGTAACAATAAATATAAAAGGGTCTTCAGAGCAAAAGGTATGTACAGTCAGAGTGAAAATTAGTGCAAAAGTAAGATCTACCTTGGCCGATTTTACATCTGCTTGACGGTACAATGGGCAAGTGGGTCGTCGCTCGTCTAAGCACCATTGCCCATTGTCAATCGCTGAATTAGACTCGCGTTTGCGCAAGCCCAGTTTCAAATACCGTGATTTAGCTTTCGAGTAGATTAGGTATAGGCAGAAAACAAAACAAGGTTTAACACATTTCATCTATGAAATAACCTAAGTGGACAATACAGATCTAGTATTTACTAGTATTTACAGTAATTGGTAGACGGTTAAAGGTTTTAGAAAAATGGCAGCATATTTACCTAACGCAAAAGTAATTATAAAATTGAATTCACCGAAATTAAACAGAGGGAGTATTAACTCCGCAAACCATAATATCATATAATATAAGGTAAGGATCATGCGAGCTATAAAAGTCTGATGACCGAGTCAGGAATTTCACAAGAGGATATAATAAAAGACGTTTTCGGCGATCAAGTTAAATCGTATGGGTGTGTAATAATTATTTCTTCAGAACCGGTATAATCAGATAAGGGAACGGGTCTCGCGAGCGTATTGTACAATTCCGAACAGGTATAGAATTGAACGGCATCACTGCCAAAAATTATATACAAGTAAGGCTTGGAAGAAACGCCTACCGCAAATGTGCAAGTTATCCGCGACGAAAAAGCAAGCAAGCAAGCACGAGGTCAAAGTGCTGAGGGCAACTCATAACTCTTCTTAAGGCCAGGCTTATTTCGAGTCGTCTTGCAAATAATAATTTCATGTACCTATATGTATATGAATTAACTTAAGAAAACAAATGAACAAATGAAACATCGAAGTAATAATACTTGTATATTAATTGTTCAGTGTTTATTGTACTAAGTATCAAAGTAATCAAACTAAGTGTAGTTTTAACATTATTTTGGCATAGACCTCTTCTATGAAATATATAGAATAAACGATAAAACTAAAATGCCAGGAAATTTGTACCAAATTCCCGTGGGCACGTGCGTAATGTCTGATGGACCCCGCAATCCTCCACAGAGGAAAATAATTTGCATTTTAAAGAGCGCAAGACTACAGCATCAGCGCGTCGAGTTGCTGAACCGCACGATGCAGCGCCTCGAAAAATTATCAAGTGTAGTGGAGACTTCATTAAGTAGGGTTCAACGACCCGCCTGATATCCGCCATCGGTTGAGGAAAACCTTTGCACATTTTGAATGTTATGATACTTCCAAACCTAAGTTAGCTAATTGCTTCATTAAAATACTCGCAAATTTAATTAAATCATAAACTGAGAGTTGCAACAAACTTTCGAAAAGTGTATATATCAGGCCATCGATGAGCCATAAGCCTATTGAACCAGAATCATAATCTAATTGGAATTGAACGCGAAACTCTGGCACAGATACCGGTTCCCGTTTTCTAACGATAAATTCTTTTGTTTATTTCTTATTTCGGTCAACGGCCGAGCGGCCTCATTGTGCCGAACCCATCGACCGCCTTAGGGTCACTAAGTTTGTGTGTAACGCTTATTACTACTTCAAACGGCCCTTCGACTATCAAAAGTACGCTCAACTAGATTCCATTGAACATAGAACACGTGGCACCGAATGAATTGCCTAACGCTATTCACAGATTCTTTGGAAAATCTATGCGAAACCCGTTCAGCGAGTTTAGCTTTAGATAAACGTATTATGTTTCGACACAAAAGAGCCATTATAATATTAAATGGAACGTGTAGGTTATTTTTACGATACATGATTATGAAACCCACGCTCTGTCATCGTGTTTCGCTGTTTTTTCATTCGAAACTTTGCGTACGAGTTTGAACAGTAGGGTCGTCGGCGAAGTACGTTTAAAAAGAGAATAATAATATTCCACAATCACAGCGGACTTCCTTCAGTACGTTGTTTACTTATATCTCAACTCCCAATCCGAAAATACGGGACCTTAGGATCATCGATGATCCAATTAATCGTGCATATTTTTAATTCATCTATAAGCAATCGTTACCTAAACAATGAACTCAGATTCGTAGATTCAACGAAAAGTGACGGACCCCGCGTCTGCCCTGACGTAATCTTTTGTTCTAAAATGAAGAAAAACAACAGACGAAAGTATCACAGATAATATTCGGAATACCTAATGTCATAGCTAGAGCGGCACGCGGTAATGTTTGGTCTAGGCATTCAATCGAATCGTGTGTTGACCGGGGCGCTTCACCTTGAGCTGAGACCGCCTTATAAGCCCGCCTAAGTGAATGGTGCTCTCTGGTCTCCGGGGAGAGACGGAATCACGAGCGACGAAACTTGACCGTATTATACAGTTTCGTACAATGCTCGAAGACCGGTCCAGTGCTGTGGGTGAGCAAGTTGTGGAATGCACGGGGCTGAGCATCATTTGAAAGTGTATAAAATGCGGCTATCGATATTATCATATGCGCTAGGAGGCATTCTGGCTAGGGAAAGCGTAAATTTTAATAAAAAAACTGTAGCGTCCGCAAATAATAGTTTTTATAAGCAGATAGATATGGTTAGGGCAATGCAATGAATCTGCATTGCATTGCAAAAAAAAAGGTCTTCACTAACTGAAATAATATGGAATTAAACCAATTATCGTAGCGCAATAGCTGTAAGGAGAAACATTTAGTAGAACTAGAATAAAATTACACCGTATTCAAATAAAAAGACGTTTGCAATATTAACGTACGCACTTAATTCTACCACATTATCGAGGAGGAATCTAATTAAGCACGTCTTACAAAAGCAGTCGAGTAATCCAAATCGTAATGGAGGGTCATAGAAGCGAGGTTCGCGCTAGTTCATGCGAAAAAACAATATCGACAGAGTAATTGCCGCTCTTCGCAGATATCAATGACTAGATGATAGACTACAGTCTGCGGTCGAGTGGGCGAGTTTTTTTATCTGTGTGCGTAGCGTAAGATTGCCTCTAATCATAGACTATACCCATCATAATAGACTCAATCAAATAACCAGTAAAGAAGTAATAACATTAGCATATTTTTCTAATAAAGAGTTTCCTAAGCAACAAGAGGAATCCGTATAAAAACCCAGCTAAACCACAGATTATCTTACGCATTAACGTAAAATGATTATTATTGGTGTACATTGTATTTATTTTGCAAGTTGTATACAAAATAATATAGTTTCATAAATTTTTATAACATGACGATGTATATATAACTTTTTGTACGAGTAAATATAAAAAATACAATGTACCATTTTATAAATTTCATACTAACTTGACGTCTCCGAAATCTTTGTCCGCGTTATATGTATTACGTCCTAAAGTGGTACCATCTACTCGAGCGGCTACCATAAATCAGAACTCTTATCAACACGCGCCAGTTCACAGCCTTCTTTCCGTCCGAACCGAACCCGTCATTCCCTGTAACGTCTGATTTATTACACACTAATATCTGAGTCACTCTAGAGATATCACTCTGAATATATTAAAGTACGCCCGCGCAGATAGCTCAGCCTATCCATTAGCTCATCGAAGAGACGCCCACTCTTCTTACGTCTATTTGTTTTCGTCCCGGCGCTCGAAGACCCCGCGCCTAACGGGCCGTCCCGATTCGGACACCGAAATAACTCATACCGTGTCCCACTTACGGTGCGGTCCCGGCGAAAACCGGCCGCCGACTTCGGGCCTCTGGACGCCGGGATTTTTTGCCCACGGATCTTAACCCCGTGTTAGCGACCTCGGAAGGCGTTTTTGTGCATTCAACGGATAACGTCGTTCGCCTTATTCCGTTTAAAAGGAATTAAGATTTCATTCGTGCGCCAGCTCGGGCACCGGCCGATGGGAAATTTTCCGATGACGTAACTCGAAACTTTTTTGGGTCAACGAATGACATTGACGCTTTCGACGACATCGGTGATATGGGTAATTATTTTCAACACGCAGAGGAAATCGAAATGATTAGTGCGCTCGGGTTGAACGATCTCTCGAAGTTGCAATCGGGTTTTCGTTTCGATGACGTATCCGCGAGTGACGCGGCTGTGAAGAATGTCCTCGTAGGCAGGTTATGAATTTTGGGTTATTTCACGCAATCGCGAAAGCGCTTACCCGCTCGCAGTGAAATTCCGTCGAAACGCTCGGCAATTATTTGCATAGCAGAAATGCCGCAGCCGGCGACCGACCGATTACGTTATATAACAAAAATTCGGACATGTCCCGATTCCCGGCGCGAGTGGAACGTCTAGGCCCGTTATCTATGGCGTGCGGCTACATGTGCCATGTGTAGCCAAATATCAGTGACGGCGAGGTCGACGACCGCGCATGTACAGTCTACGAGCACCTGCAATAGCGCCGACTTTGTTGACACAAGGAACTGACATGACAACCGAAGTGATAATTCATGTCTTCAGTGGATAATTTTAGATTTTTATAAGACTTCAAAGACCCAGCGATCGATACAAAGACGGTTATTAACTATTAATAATTCCATTTAGGCTTTTACTCGTATTTAAGAATGAACAAAGACCAATTCCTTGCGCCAAGTCCTGGTTAAAACTAAAAACTACAAAATATCGATTGTTGAGTCACTTGATATTGCCTTGTATACATTTAATAAAATCCTGCGAACAGTTAACGTAAATATTCGCTTTCAAAGTGGCGTTAGACGTGCTCTAAAATACGCAGGCGTAAGTGCAATTTCAAATAGCAAACCGCATTCATTTTTTGTTCCGCACTCGATTGGATTCTTTGAATGGGAATTATAAAATTCAATTTCTTTTATTCGATTCATGTTATCAAAGCGATGTCGAAATAGAATATCATTAATTCCTTGTTTATTTTATGCTCCTCGGAGAAGTAAACCCACGGTAAAATAATCAACTCGTGTAACTTAATAATTTAAATTCCCGAAATACTGGCTAACCAACAAACAATCTTATCGAATACAAATTCCGATTAAAAGTGAATGATGCTCGTAATACTGGTACACATTATAAATTTAATGTGAATCAATATTATATATATATATATATTGAAGAAACCTTTGCGTGATAGAATTCGAACCCACGCTCGGTGTAATGGGCGCTAAATGCTGCACCGTGATACCTGAATTAAGCCTGTGATCCTCCAAAAAAAATGGCTAAACTATACATATTTAGAAATTTGAGAAGCAACACAATTTAAATCTTATATTTTTTATTATCTTATTTACCTTTGTAATTGCTGTAAGAGGTTCGTTTCCCTTCGTTTGTTTTGGCGCGGTTCATAGTTGTGTCTATGCGAGGAGTCGGAATATCAAGTTACAAGAGGACAGATAAAAGTATAACAGATTTATAACGAACGACGCTTCTCGCGAATCGAGGGCGCAGCCTTGTCCTGAATCTTAAAAAAATTGGCACATTTTTTTTCTATTCTCTGCATCACGGTCGAAACATGGCGAACTGTACAACAGTGCCCGCCGTAGTAATGGTACGAAAAGTTCGTCTAATTTGCGATCTCTAATGAACGTTGATTGGCTCTACTTTTGTGTTGGACGTCCCTATTTAAGTTTTAGGTTTGGTTACATTTTATAATGTAAAAGTAATGGAAGAGTTTTCACCGTAGTGAACGGTCAAATTAGCTTGACGTTTCTGCATCTGTTTCTGTTCTGTGTAATATTAAAACCAGAAAAAAACAGTTCGCTATACTGCCACAGACTACTACTACAAAAGCAAAACTGTCTTCCCGATAATGTAGTACCATATTAATGTTCTGTTAATCTCGCATTTCCTAATCAGAGATTAGACTAGAACAAAACATTTCCGTTCCAATCGGCGGTGTTAGATATTATGTTTATTTTTTATCGCGGCCACAATAAATGTGTAGGTACCGCCAATGTCACAGAGCCGATTTCAGTATCCATGCATCGCTGCCCGACGACAATAGAGCACAGATTATAATGTATTGATATTGTTAACAACGGGCGATGCAGCGTCCACGTCGTGACTATAATGATGCCAGCCATTTTATTCGCAGGAAATTCTCTAGCCATATCGCATTAAATTGAAATGCAACATATTATGTACGCAAGGAACATGACAATTCACAATGGACTCGGTACTTTCTTGAAAGCGTTCGTATCTCCTATTGTCAGAGCGAAGATGTTATAAAACAAAGAAGTAACTTCTGATTAAAAATAAGTAATTTTTGGTTGCAAATAATAACTGTCTCTTCGGCTAATTACTTATAATCTTTGTCCAGTATTTGAGGACAGGACATAAGATGGTGGTCTTAGAAAAATAAAAGGATATATGTATATTATATGTAGCCTATGCGGATATCGCGAATGTAAATGAGGTTTCAAGTGCTTAGCGCTGCCTCGTAAGGTTAGATTAGTTCCAGCAATTAAAATACTCGGCTCTAACATTATACGCTACGGGAAATAAGATTTCACTTTTTAAATCAACGGCATGAGGAATGTTTTCAGTTTTTGTTGTGATTTGAGTTAGGACTGCCGTATTTTTGCTACTCATATTACTTAAGCGATAAATTAAATCGGGTATTTCATTGCGGACTGTACTACTAAACTGTAAACATAATTAACAATTTTTTTTCATTTATGTATAAAATACCTTCTCTATAAAATTAAAAATTGCAGCGGTATAAGTTAAGCGTGTCATGTTTAGTTCCAGTAAATTTGATTTGAAAGTCCTTCTATGATATAGTTTATTCTACAAAAAATGGGTAGGATAAAGAAAGAGCTCAAAGCGTAATAGTACACGATATCTGTTATCCAATGAAGGTATTAACTCTAATGCTAGTTTATAGAAGTCGATTCAGTGTAATTCAATTTATGCTGCACTAAGCTGCACATGCTCCTACTTAGCCCGGGGAGTTGTTGACCTAACGTTGTAACAGGTAATTATTTCGTGCATAAGCACGCCGATCTATACATATATAAAACTTTGACCTAACTGAATAGCTCTGCTAATAACGGCAAGAAAGGACATTTACGAAATTCTACGGTAGGTAAAGTTATGATGGTCAAAAAGTTACTTTCAATAGTAGCTAGTAGTTATATTAAAACCCGAATGAGTCGAGTAGGTATTGAGTAGATACAGTCTATAACCGGTTCAAAAAAAGTAGAGTCGTTAATATGTTCAAGGCCCGTCTTACAAGATGGAATCTAATCCTGGGAGCTGTCAAAATGACATTTTTTCATTTAAAAGAATGGACGGTTCGTAACTGGATTTTGAGTTGAGTCACGATTTCGTCTAGTTTGTAACGTTGTTAATTAGATAATAAATCCTTGGTTCATGATTATTGATTTCGACAGCATGTAGGAATAGCATCTCTCTTAAAAACAATACTAAACTGAAAGCTACAACAACCAATGGTACACGTTTTGTAACATTCAAGAAATTTTTTCGGTTTCGCATTATTGCTAATTAAAACTTGCTATCCTTAATTGAAACTGTAACTAGTTCAATTTTTAGATAGTTTGATCTTTTTAACAGTTACTATAGCTATACTAAGTAAATACTCGAGTCTTTACGTCGGTTAACAAGTTAATAGTATGACATATAATATAAGTGTAAAGGTAGAGTCTACATATAAAAATACTATCCTTATCAAAAACGTTAACTGTGCGTTACGTCATAGTAGATATTTATAAAGGAAGAACATTCTCTTTTATGGATAAAACTAGTTACTTGAACTGGGTTGTGCCGCGATAAACACTTTCCAACTTGCTCGCTATAAATATTCAGCAAATGCGTCGCCAGCCACCGCTCTCACCTCGCCTTCGCTAGTCTAATCGACACTCGGAACAACACTAGGCATTATTCCCAGGCTTTCGAGCTAAGAAGCTAATAAGCATCGGTACCGCGGTAGTCTAATAAGAGACGCGTATAAGAATTCTAGACGAGCTTAAAAACAACTCGAACCCACCTCGTAGATACAGTTTGGGCTCAATTTTGACGGTCCACTTGCACTCCAGTTAACGATATTCGCGCGTACACTAGCGCGGCTATTTATCCATCACTGCACATCCGCAATCGGAAACACGATTTCACTGTCACACAAGCCAGAGTCGACACAAAAGTATCACGAGTGAAACCACTGAAGACCGACGCGCGAGGCCGGCCGACCTCCACGCTGCCGAGCGCGAGTCGAAGCCTGGAAGGTGGCGAGTGGATGGAAGTGCAGGAATACGGTGAGAGCTGAACGAGACGACGCGCGTGACTTGCCGCCGCCGACTGAGCGAGCGAACCTCACTCGGCAGTCACTACCACACGCGCAATCGCGCACTCACAGCACAGACTAAGCGTTGTACAGAGCTGTACTCGCGTTACAGATAACGCTAACTCAGTGGTGCATGCGCTGACGTCGAGACGGCGGCTACTAATTGATTAGGTTCCCCAAAGGTTATAAAATATTTAAACCATTTGATACCACTGTAAAAACAGTGGTATCAAACTACATTAACATGGAAATTTTTAAAGCGAGGGCTATTTTAATAAAAATAATTATAATAATGAGAGCTAATTCAAAATACTGCAGCTATTATTTTATTGTTTTTATTGTATTGTATTGTGTTGTAGTCAGTCTAGAACATCATAAAGCACAAACGTAAGATTTTATGTTTTGTTTATTTCCGGTGACATAGACAATATTAATTATAATAACACTTAGCTTATTTCAATAATACAGCCAGCTGATCCAACTTAGAAAAGGGTTCTCTAAAATTTATCATCTGTGGTCGGGAGGCGCGGAACCTCACCGCCCGACGCCCGCTGGTCGCCGCGCTGTTTCGACGCGACACAGCGCAGTGTTTCAACTCTTACACGAAAACATGCGCTCAACTAATATTTTCTCCAGCGTCACACAAAACCATAAAAACCTTTACCCCACCCGAACTAGAGCATAGAAGTAATGAATCAATTAATAATAATAAGAAAGGCCATAGAGTTCAGTTTGTTTTACAGCTTGTAACTAGAGTATAGAAGTAGAAAAAAAGAAACACGATCTATTGAAATGTAAGTACTGTAGCGCTTAAAGCGCTAACTTACCAACGAGCCGTGCTTTCCACTCGCACTAGCGCAGCGGCTCGCTGGACGCACTTACCGATAGTATTTTAAACATCTCTAATTTGAAATTTAGATTCTGTTATCCGTCGAAGAAACAGAATCTATTGAATATTTACTGAAAAATAAGTCTCACCGGACGGATCACTTGCGCAGTGAATGGGCAACGCGTGTTGAAATAAAAGCGCATGCGCCGCGCACACTCGCCCGTAGAGCCTCCGTACGCACAATTCCTCAATAGACACACGCGAAAAACTCACCACGAGTCATCGGTGTCGGGTGAATTCAATGTCAACAAATTGCAACTCTCATTCGGCTAATAAGCGTAAAACGAACGTGGAACGGCGGAGTATCGATGTGGATGCACGCGTGAAGGAGTAAGGTCATCGGAATGCTTCGGAGGCGCGATGCTACAAATTGCGCAAATAGATGTTCCAATGAACTCGTTTAATAATAGCGAGTAGTGAGGGCGCAGGGAAGCGTAGCCACTGTAGCGTCCGCGTCGTGTCGATACGCTGTGCCGCGACTAATCTTTAAGTGCGCTACTATTGGAAATTTGCTATCACGAGGCCTAGGGCGTTATGATTAAAAAAATGTTAGTTCAAATAAATTTCTTACTTGTTCTTGCAGTAGGGATTTAAAATTGAAACTGAATTTCATTTACTTTGATGATTGAACACTTTAAGAATAAAATGCGTACCCAAATTATTAATATAAGATATACTTAATTAACACATAGTATGTATAGACAAACAAAATGAGCATATGAAAAGTGTAATGTAATCTTGGTTCATCCTAATAAGATTTTAAAAACTTGAGTTTTGAGTGACATGATCACTCAGATTATCTCTCTTCCTATTAGATTATATCTCACAATTCAAAAAAGTAAACAATATCGTGAAAAATAAAAATCACATTTGACGAGAGATAATAAGTACATTCCTTTGTTATTTTCGGAGTTTGCTGCGAAAGTGACATTGAGGTGACGTGACGCTCAAAAGAGACTTTTATTTGATGCACAGCGATCGAGAGTTTCAAACAACAAATCATTGTCATATTGGACTTTGGAGCAACGCGACTGTTCATTGAGACCGCTAGAGCCAGAGTGGCCTAAATGCAATTTTATGACTGGACTTATTTATATTTTTATAGACTAAAAATGTTAATCTAAGAGCACAGTGACCGAAAATTGTTAACATAATTCTTAGACAAATAATAGTAGGTACAAATTAATTTCCGCCTAAGTAATTGCGCTTATCTATTTACCTGCTTATTGAAATTCTTGTTTTGGTTCACTCGATGGTAAGTCGAGTACCTCAGCCTTTATCATTTTGCCTTTGGATATTTGGAAATCCAAAGACTGAAACCGAAACCTAATTAAACATCACCCATTTAATATCCAGATTTCCAGGCGAAGTCCAACATGTTTTAGAAAAATTAAATTGATTAGAAAAATGTTGGACACGATGGGAATCGAACCCACGAACCCACCTCGTTGATTATTAGCCGTGCTTGCTACCATGACACCAACGAGCGCGTCGCTCATATGTATGAATATACTACTACTACATCGTGACTTAAGTTTAAATAGCCGATCTCTCTTTGTGTTGTGTTGGCGCCTCGATTCCCGTCTTCCTCTTCTAAAGACTGGCAAGCCACGACAGTTCAGGAAATGACCACTGGAGCAGAGTAAAGAGCTATGTACTCAGAGAATAGGTAGTTAGCCTTATGTTTCGTTAAAACTATGTATCGACGTTACATCATAAGAAATAGTATAGAATATTCGTTTCATGGAGTTCTATTTGTAACATCTGTAGCTATTAGACATATGTATATAAAATTAATAAGTACCTGCAGTTGTTAACAGACTATCCGTTTATTAGGATATAAAAGGAACAGAATTTTTATTATAAGCAGACTAATTTAATTTAGGAAAATTAAATTCTCATGTTACGCGAAAATGTCAAACAGTCGACGCCGTTTTCTTGTTATTTTCAATGAAAATCCTCGTCTCTGCTTTCTCCTTAATGAGCTTCAAATAGCCGAGACTCGGATGAAACAATGTGTGGAGCTGAGGTGGTCGCTCTGGGTAAATGTCAGGGCTTCCGCCGGCGCCCGAGACATTTCTAACTATTAGGACTTGGCAATCATGCGATCTTTATATAAGGTAAGTTTTTATATGTAGAACTCTATTATTCCATTCTTTGTATACCTTTTCCTACTGACCATGTTAGATTTTTTTATAAAGAGACCTAATATATGATTATACACACTGGTTTATATGAGATTTTAAGGATAACATGTAAATAACAAGAAGATATACTGTCAAAGGCTATTCTATTCTCGTTAAACAAGATGTTATGTTTCAGCAACGTATTCCCCATAATACCGTCAACACATTTATTGTATAAAAACGTCTAGGAATCTAACAAATAATGGTACCCCATTTATATATTCATTTGAAGATATTTATCTATATATTACACAAGGTTACGATACTTAATTGACATATATTGATGCCAATTCAATATAATAAAAAAGTACATAATATATCACAACCTATTTATTACAATATAATAATGTACATCATACCTGAACTATCCAACGTTCAACCAACGTTCGCGTTATAGGTATTAATACAGATATACGATTTTAAACATATTCTGAAACCTCTAACGTTCCAACAACGTTCCAACAACGTTCCAACAACGTTCCACCAACGTTTAACCTGCGATCGCTTCAGAGCCACTGCTCCGCGCTTTACAGCGCACCCCCCTTTTATACAATTCACAAACAACCGACCAGGTGTTAGCCTGACGTCATCGAATAACACGAACATTACTTTTCAACATTTTGTAAACTACCCGCAGTTATACATCACAAAAACAATGATTTATACTACGTTTAATTATATATATATATACAAAATAATTCAAATAATCTGTCACGGCCATACTGACATGTGATTTGTTCTCAAACACTTATTCTTACAAACAAATTGTTGGTAATAATTATAACCAAGTTTATTTATATAAATATTCAAAATAATTCAAATAATCCGTTTCGGCCAAACTGACATATAATTTGTTCTCAGAACACTTGTACTTACAAATAGGATTGTTGGTGATAATTATAACCAAGTTTAATTATATAAATATACAAAATAATTCAAATAATCTGTCACGGCCATACTGACATGTGATTTGTTCTCAAAGCACTTATTCTTACAAACAGAATTGTTGGTAATAATTATAACCAAGTTTATTTATATAAATATTCAAAATAATTCAAATAATCCGTTTCGGCCAAACTGACATATAATTTGTTCTCAGAACACTTGTACTTACAAATAGGATTGTTGGTGATAATTATAACCAAGTTTAATTATATAAATATACAAAATAATTCAAATAATCTGTCACGGCCATACTGACATGTGATTTGTTCTCAAAGCACTTATTCTTACAAACAGAATTGTTGGTAATAATTATAACCAAGTTTATTTATATAAATATTCAAAATAATTCAAATAATCTGTCAACCGCGTTTAACAAATTCAATTTAATATTAACATAAGGTGCTGTGTTTAACGTGGCACTAATGGTGGGTTTGTTATATTTTAGTGAAACAAAAGCGTACATATTTAATATGTACACACAAACACTTCACTGCAACATTAAAAATCTATTTAGATTTACAAAAATACGGTACCACCTTCCCATGTAGCTCTAATCCGTTGAACTATTGTGGATCATGTAACGCGGTGGATGCCGGTTCATGTACCGGCAGTGTCATATACATATATTTTAACAATATAATAGATTAAATACTGTCGCGAGTAGTACACATTTAAATAAAACAATCTCCCCGTGACCACGGCTGCTGCAAAGCATCCGAAACGTCGGGCCGAAGTTAAAAATCATTTTCATATAAGTTTAACTAATATATCGCGTTTTAAACCGTTAAAGTGTTTTATTTAAAAAATATAATAGATTTTTAAAATACAACTTCATTTCAAATAGATTTTGAATTTCTATAAAAACATTTTTGGTAAAATATTAAAGCTTTTAAACTATTACTAGAACTGAGATATGTAATCCGGTTGACTTCTTCTCGATAGGTCCGATAAAATACTTAACA